GACCAGATGAATGAACTGGAGTCACACCCCAGATTTGGACCTATTGGCCAAACTGCTGTATTTTCCCCAGCGTTGGCGCATCACTGCTGTGGCACCACTTTGCATGTAAAATCATTCGTTCTGCTGGTGAATTCTGCCGCTGAACTGCCCGTGCTTTTTGTGGGTTAGAAGCAGGGCTCTGCCTACTCCTTTTCACCTGAGGATCTTTCAGTTGAAGAATATTCCCTGCTATTGAAGCTATGATGGAGCAGGACTTGCAGAGTTGTCTTTGAAATTACACTCTGGAGCAGTGTAAAAAAGTGTGGGAGAGTGGGGAGGAGGAACAGGATTTCTTTACGTTGACCTATTGCTTTTGAGTAATTCAGCCAGGCTACATTTTGTGTAAAAAGATTTTTTCAAATTAAAGCTGATTGTAAAGGAATTTCTGTGCACCCTCAATTAGATGCTAAATGAGATCAAGATGAGTACCATTACTGTGATGAATATGGTGACATTAGCCTGTTTGAATTGCTCGAAGCACAACCTGCTCCTCCTGGCTATTTTCCTCTTTGACCAAGCCAAACACAGTGAATTTCTGTGGAGTAGTACGAGTAGCTCCTTCAGGGGATGGATCTCAGCATCCATTTAATGCAGGGGCTTTTCTCCCCTGCAGAAAGCCACAGCACTGGATAATCTGGAGTGCTGTTGACACTTCTGCCCTGGAAGAGCTGTTGGTGCTCAGCAGAGGGATCCATCCTTGGCAGCATCGTGCTGCTTTGCAGGCCATAGCCCCAGTGGGGCAGTGGGATCTGACGCCCTGTGTCCTTCCTTCATCCCTGTCCTGCATTCCTTCCTTCATGTCTGTGCTTTAACATGACTTCCCTCTCACCAGATGCAGGGGGATGAGCCTTGCAAGAAAGCCAGCCAGTGCCACTGATGAAGGCCGACTTGGTCACTCCCATTAAGTCTGGCATGATCTATGGGAATAACTGAGACCATCTGGCAATGAAGCAGACAGCTGGCGAGCACCTTCAGCAGGACCAGGGAGTACTGAGCTTAGAAAAACAACAAAAAAAAAGGAACTGGGAACAACAAAGCATAAATCAAAATGTTATAGAATAACATTAATAGTAGTACAGAGGTATTGTCACTGAATGGTTTCCTTAGATGCTGCTTGGGTAATGTGTTTCAGAACTAGCTGGACAAAGTAATATCAAAGGGGCCAGCTGTGGGCTGAAGAGCACCTGGAGAGCTTTCCCTTTCCTGTCTGGAGCACATAAGCCTCATGCACGCCTGCGGAACGCTGTGAGGCAGACGCAGCATCCTTGGTCTCCAGATTAGGGTCCATTGCTGTGGGAACATCAACCCCACGTGCCTCTGCATGCTAGCATGCCTGGACACCTCTGCTGGAAGGAAAGCTAAACCTGAGGTGAAAATAGAGATGTCTGTGGGTGAAGCACTGAAAAATTTTGGTGAGTCTTGGCTCTGGGTCTTCTCTGCTTCCCCAGGGCTACCAACTGGTACTGCCTTGTGACTGGTGAGTATCAGGGGAGAGAATGGGAGATGGAGCTTTCAAAGGCCTCCTGATTTCCACTGATGAGAGAGAGCACCAAGGCTTTGTGAGACCTCTTTTTAGATTCATGGTCTCCCGCTCCACAAGCAATGCCTGCTAAGCCTGCGTCACACCATCTGCAGTGTGAGGTGGGTGAAGGCATTTATGAGCAAGGAGCGCCCTGGTCATGCAGCAAAGCCGGTGTGCGACCTACAGAGTACAGGGAGTAAATTTTTCAATCCTTGTTTCTAGATGATCACAGAAAGCTTGTGTCACAAAACAAAATCATGAAGGCCAGCCACTGTGAGAGCTGAATGTTCAGCTGCGGTGTGTAAGCAGTCCACACATGCACAAAATCAGCTCAGAGAATAGAGGTATGTTTTAATCGCTGCCAGCACTAGAGAGGTAGTATGCACTTTTGTAATTCATCTGTTTACTAACATCTTGCAGACTGAAAGTCTCAGGCAACATCCTCTAAATTAGGCCTACAAAGTGCAATAGATCTATTCCTGCTAGAAGAAAACACAGGCTCTCCCGTTATTAATGTGCAAAATCTGGAGATGAAGTCACATCTATAGGATGATCTATTTTGGTGAGCCATGTGTGCTTAAATCCCTGCCTTGATCTGTTAAACCACCAAGTCTGCCATAAATATTTGATGATGAACAAGCTAATAAAATGTGGAATATCAACAGAGGGAGAGCAAATGTGTGATTCAATTTTTAATTACCACCACTTTACTGTAAAGACAAGTTATTTTCTGTTAGAGACTGAAAACAACAGTTTTCTTTCTTGATTTTAACAAAAACGATGGATCCTCACAGAAACAAAGGAACTAGGGCACAAGAAATAAGGTAGAACAGTCTGGTTTTATTACCATAAGTAATCAAGAACTTTTGTTTCCCCTTTTCTTCGTCTTCTTTCCTTCCTTCTCTTTTTTTTTTCTTTTTCTTTGTCTTTTAATTTTCTTTCTTTCTTGTTTTTTTTTTTTTTTTTCCTTTTTGTTTTTTACAACGTACATTAAGGTGTGAATCTGATGTTACGGGGATGTGGAAATGAAGGGAAACCGGTGACATCACAATACTCTACAACTTTACAGCAAATGAGAGTCTGAATCTGTTGCATCTACCAGTGTATAGCAAGGGTGGAAAGCAAAGGCACACATAGGCTTATGAACCCCTCGAAAGAAAGGGTGAAGCGGGAGAATGAGAACAGAAAATCCATTGAGTACAAAACGGGTATTTCAAGGTCAAACGAGCAGCGGATGCAATGTATGTTACAAAGGCAGATCGCCATACGAGCTGTTGCTGTGATTATTCATTTCTGTGTTTTGACAGAAGACTCTGCCAAGTCATAGCAATGGACCTGTGCATTTTGGTACTCGGGGGGGGGAGGGAAAGGGGGGGGGTTTGGAGCCTGGTGAAAAGGCTGTGAGTCGGTTCTTTGCAAAAATGACCTTGCTACCTATGGTTTTTAAAGTTCTTCTTTTCTGTTTGCTTTTATTAAATCAACAACATTGCTTTGGATACAGATCTACCTAATCCAGTCTGCATAGTTCACTAAAGGTGAACAGGTGTCGTAAAAGAAACCATGATGAAATGAAATCACATGCAAGCACCCTTGTTACACACTTTGGTCTAAACCATTCAGACTTTATATATACCATCTATAAGCTAACGGACTTGAAATCTGTCTTTTCAGTCATTCAGAAACAAAACCAAAATCCTGGAAAGCAAATTGAAGTATAAAATTTTAAAAAACAAACTGAAACAGAAACAACCACCTTACTCAAACATACTGTTCAGTAGATATAGATATATATATATATAAAAAGCTCAGAAGCGATCCCCATCGTTTGTCTACAGTATGTTGACACAGTTATCGTAACAAATTTAAAACACATCTACTTTTTTTTTTTTTTTTCTTTTCTTTTTGCATAAACTGAAAGAGTGGAAAAGGGACTTACACGCCTGCGCGCGCACACACACACGCACACACCTGTGCGCGCGCACACTCCCACGTAGCTACATGCACAGTCGCACCAAAGAAACAAAGGAAAAAAAAAAAAACAAACAAAAATGTTTTTTTTTTTTGTTTTTTGTTTTTTTTTTTTGTTGTTGTTGTTGGTTTTTTTTTTCTTTTTTTTTCTTTTTTTTTTTTTTTTTTTTTCCCCAGGGGAGTACATGCAGCATCCTTCCGGAGCAGCAGGTCGCTGCAGCAGGAGTCTGCCCACCCGGCTGAGCTCCGCATGCCCGGCGCGATGCAGGATATGCTGCCAGGCTGCTTGCAGGCACGGCCCCTCTTGCCCCGATGCCTGTCTGCAGATGGACGACAACGCTGTCCCCAAGGACAAGGTGTTGGTGTCTCCTCTGCTGCCACGAGAGCGGTCGCTGGGCGGGGGGAGGCACGGAGCTGCAAGGCAGCGCGGAGGGAGAGTGCTCTGGGGAGAGGGCTTGGCACGGCTGGAAAGTGGAACCGACCCAGAGGGGATGGCACTGGCCTGGTGTAGCAACGGTTGTGGGGTGATGCTGATAGCCGCCGCATTCTTCTTCGAATGCCTTGCTCCAGTTCTCGAGCGGGCACGGAGGAGGGAGGACCAATAAATATTTGCATTACTCCGAGGGGAAAAAGAAAAAGGTTTTTTACATACTACAGCTCACAATTATACACAACTGAGGGTGTAAGGCACAAATTTACATGTGGAAGAAAACAGGCTATTCACAGATATATTCCCACGAAAAACCCGTGTGATAAGACCATAATTTATGCATGGTAACAGCCGGCATATTAATTAGTTCACACTGTTTGAGGATTTCGTTTGCCGTCTCACATGCAAGGTGAAATGAGATGGCAATTCACAAGCTGGTGCCGTCACGGAAAGAATTAGCTACTGACAAAGCTATGTTGATAGCAATGGCGCACAAATGTGCAGCTTTTAAAGAGTTTCTCTTGCAGTTGCGTTACAAGTTATGAACCTGTGGTATTTGTTTGTCGCTGTCTTAGGTCAGAGGCCAAGCCAGCTAATTAGCTGAGAGATTTAAATAGATATCCCCGTTTTTTTTCAGCTAATCAGACAGTCCAGGCACAAAGTTCAGAATTCCAGCTCCAACTTAATTAACTCAGTGAATTTATTGGAAAAATAAAAGTTTTAATTACTCCAGTTAACGGGTTTCACGTTAAATAGGTATAACTTTCAAGGTACTTCTCTGAAGAACTGCTCACAGGATGATATGCGGAAGTCATTTCCTTAGGAAAAACAAAAGTTGAACAATAAATAAGAGGAGTTACTTGCGTTAACAGTCACGTTACTCATTAAAAGAGAAAGGTAGCAGAAATCTATGACATAGTTTGCCCAGCACGGCATTATAACTGCTGTAACCAAATGGCTGTAACACTGATGGGCATTTCACAGTACCTGCATTTAGTAAACTTCTGCCATTGTTAAGTCAGAGTTAGCTTTATCAATGGATTCTTTTTTCTTTCTGTTTTTTCTTTTTCCTTTTTCTTTTTTTTTTTTTTTTCTTCCTATTTTTATTTTGTTTTTAATTACTGGTTTTGCTTTCCAGAGCACTCTTTCCCAGTTCAGGAATGCACTGTGCAGTTTGAGGGGGAGGGGAGGGGTGAAATGTCACAGTCATCTTTCACCTGTGTGCTTTTGGCTCAATGTTTGTGATGGAGAGCTAGTCCTTTGAGCAAAGAACTGAAGGGCTGTGGGGGCGAGTCCTGCGATTGCAAACCTTCAACCATAGGTCATATGGCTCGGGTTAAAAAAATATTCCACTTTTCCCAGAGAGCAGAAACAAACACGTCCTCAGCTTGCAACAACCATCTTCTCAGAGGAGCAGTTGCAGAACACTCTCTTTCAAGGGCAACTTCTGCTTAACTGCCGTTCTCCCCCCACCCACCCCACTGTGATTATGTACACGCGTCATTGGGCTTCATGGACGTGGAGAGCGGAGCAAAGGAAGGTTTGGGAGGTACGTCTGGCTTTAGCGAGGGCGTGCGTTTCAACCCTGACCTGGTCAGAGAGTTGTACGTGGTGAGACTCGGCTGTCGTGATACAGTCATGGCCTGTGCCTGTGCAGCGTGGACTTGTATGGAGTCCACCCGCTGCGGAGCTGGCGGTGGGTTGTCACCCCTGCCGAAGCTCTGATTTCGAGAGAGGTGTGATGAGTTAGAGGAGTTGGTGTTGTTTCTTTTGAGGGTCGACGCCTGGTGACTTCTTGTGAGCGAGTTTGTAGGGTAGTTTCTCTTGTAGTCCACGTTGTAAGCAGAAGAATGCACGTCTAGCCGCTTGCTCAGGCCACTCTGAGACAGGGAGGTGCTCGGCGGCCCGAGCGAGGCTTCCCGCTGAGGTACCTTTGGCGGCATGCTGTCAAGATTTTCCACCAGGTTAACCCCATGGCTGGGGCTTTTGCTACTGAGATGGTCCTTGATGGTTTTGTACTCAAGGGTGGCATTCTGGTCCTCCACAGACATCTGAGCCCCATCACTTATTTTTGGCTGGTCAACATACTCGTGTTGGTAGCCTTGCTGGGCAATGGGCAGAACCATAACACTGGGAATGTGGCTAGGAGAAGCCCTGAGTGGCAGGTCAGTTGGGATCACGGGTGAGGCCATTGGGGGGATATCTTTTGTGCAGGCATTGATGAGATTCTGGTTTCTTTCCCACTCTCTACTGCCACGGTTGGGCTTCCTTTTCTGCTGCAGGGTTGGGGTGGACTCTGGGGTTGGCAGGGCAGCCAAGTCCAGATGGTGCTGGTCAGCCTTGATTAGCATCTTGGTAGTGCTGCCTGGTGTGGCCAGCTTGCCATTGTGCATCAGAGGTGTGAGGATAGCTTCAGGCTTTGGTTCTTTGGACTGAGCATCTCCAAAGAGGCCACTGAGCTTGGTAACACTGCTCATGGAGCCGCGGCGGGAGTGGGTCAGTTCCTTCTCCTTTCTCTGCACAACAGCCACATCTCTGCGGCGATGGTCACAGATACAGTACACTACGATGCCCGAAAAGACGGCCCCCATTACAAAAGCTAGAATTACTGCAATGGCCAACAGGGTGACCGGCACCAGCTGATCATGACCCTTCAGGTAACTCTCACGAATCACTCCTGCAATAGACAGCATTACAGTGGTTAGGCAAACCAAGGAGAGGGAAAAGTCACTTATCTTTAACTGCTTTATTTGAAGGAGGTTTGTTCATGTTCTGCAAATGATTTTTGACCAGCTTGCCAAAATTTAGAGATATACTGTACCTGCCAGCTACTTCTTACATGAGCAGCTTTGGGATTTCAATTCTGGAGCTGAATATGAAGTCCAGGAGGGGAGAGAGAATTCACTTGCAGGGCATATGGAGTCAGTTTGAATTCCATGCCCTGGGCAAATACACACTCACTTTGAGAGGTCAGAGCTATTACTGCTCCTCCTCTGACATACTGCTTATTCCTCCCTTCATTCAATCTCTGTTCTGCTAATACCATCTTATTTTTACTACTTATTTTTACTAAATTGCTCACATTGAAAATCCTGTGAAAGAAAGAGAGAGGGGAGAAGCTCTGCAAATATCAGAGAAGCGCATCCCACATTGTTTAAGGCTTCTTTCTTTGAGTGTCATTCTTTTATCTTTGTCATATGTTTTAAAAGTCAGTGTCACAGGCCTGAGCTTCAGGAGGATGCTTAAATAACTATGAAAGACAGAGCACTGCAGGAATGTATTGAGCCTTCTAGAGGACTGTCCTTGCTATTTTCATTCTTAAAGCTCTTCCTTGTTCTGGACACATGAATAGGCTTACCTCTGTGCTGAAGCTTATGCTTTTCTGCTGAAAGCTCTGACTTTGAGGGTCTCTTTTTTATGCCCCTGTGCTGCGGTCACAGATTATGGTCAGATCTTACTTGGCCCTCCAAGCCCTTGCTGCCAGAGAAGGCATCTGTGGCATTTCTCCTCAGTCTGAAGACGCTAACACAGCATTAATCAATGCCCTGAATTTCTAAAGAAAGAAACTTCCTTTTTTTTTCTGACATAGTTGGGCACCAAGCCAGCAGCACTAACGAAAGACAAGCACAGCACATCTAGTTTGCTTTCTGATTTCTGGTTTTGTTCTTCGTGCTTAACAAGGTGCAGCCATTGCCTTACAAGGAGCTGAAGGAACATCTCTCCCAACTCTTTATCCAGAGAGTGTCCAAACATCAGGGCATTAAAAGCTCCACGAGCTCTAAGGAAATGCCAGCCATGTCTTATTACAGGACAGACAGCAAGACAGCAAAATTACCTGCAAGGCACTCCTGAGTCTTTGCAAAGATACAAAACTTCCATGTCACAAATCACCTCCTCCTAGAGAGGCACCTTTTTACATACTTGGCAGACAAGATATCAGTGGCCCAGAATTAGATTCAAATGCAAAATACTCCTCAGCAAATTATGGTAAAAAAAAACACTGAAAGGCTGTCCTCATCTCAAGGAAACCTTTGACAAGCATTATGGCTAAGTAGAGCACTATTACTATAGTATGTATTTTCTGCCCCCATTTAGTTACTGAGTTTAGTTGGACATGAGATATTTATTACAAGGTAGGGTCTTTATATTTAATACAGTTCTTGAAATCCTGAATTCCTGTTTGTGACATCACAGGCAGTTGCCATGGAAGTTATTATGCTGTCACCAAGGATTGTGATTTCATAAGAATAAAGAGCAGGAACTGATGATCGCTCATGAAGCCCAGATTCTGCAATCATACAAATCTTCATAGTCAAGGAGTAAGGGAAGTAAAACAGACCTCTGGAAACAATGTACAAGCAGAAATCATCTTCAGATCAAATGTTCCTGAGAACATGTTTTTAAAGCACAGCTGCTTTTCCACAGTCAGATGTTTCTACTCTTTGTCATGAGCGCTGAGCAAAAGTTGGTAAAGCCTAACCCTGTGATTTAAATCCACACACAGAGCTCCTGTATAAAACCCAGAGACACAGTGCAGCAGTTACAGTACTGTCAGTAGGAGCAGCATTTCACTGCTCTGAAGTCTTAACGTTTTTACAGTAACAAGGCTCAAAATACCTGATCAGCACCTACCTAAATAGAGAAGTACCGACAGCCACTAAGCTATGTCTGGAACCAGAAGCCATCTGTGTCCCTAGAGGATGGACAAGACTTTTTCTAGCTTAAGGATTTCTGCCTCTCTACCCATCATATGCAGAAGTGACATGGAGGCAGAAGATGGGAGCTGTGTATTCAAGCCCCAAAAATGGTTCCATAGAAGGACTCAAACTCATGTGATTCAAGCTATGAGAATGTTGCTCTGCTTCCTACAACAGAGGAAAAATGGCTAGCCACTGGGATGGAGGTTTCCTTCAAATGCTTATAGGTCTTTCAGGAAGGAGTTACAGCAGAGAAAACAGTTTGCTCTGTGGAAGCTGTCCTGCTCTCCTCAGAGCCCAGTATAACCATGGGTGGATGGGTGCTCCATGCCTGGCACTTCCTGCAGCCTTCAGGCTGAGGGCTGTTCTACAGCTGACAGCTATAAATCACAATCCCTGCATAAAAGCAGCACGAACTCTTGCCATCAGTTTTATATAAATGATGGATATGAAATCATTACAATGAATGTGTCAAAATTATCACACAGTTCAGTATGAGTGACCATGCCTGTTCAAGAAAAGGGTAGCTGAAATGCTGCAGCTCATTCTGCAAGTGTTTTACCAGCAAAGATTTAGAGGGGATTTAGATCAGCCTGATTCCTGCTACTTTCTCTAGAGCTCAAGCCCTCCCAGAGTTTATCCAAGTTTAGGTTGGATATCAGGAAGCATTTCTTTACAGAAAGGGTTGTTAAGCACTGCAGTAGGCTCCCCAGGGAGGTGGCTGACTCACCATCCCTGGATGTGTTTAAAAACTGTTTGGATGTGGTGCTCAGGCACATGATTTGGTGGAGGGTTGTTAGGGTAATATGGTTAGGTTCTGGTTGGACTTGGTGATCTTTAAGGTCTTTTCCAACCTGACTGATTCTATGATGATATGATTCTATTATGTTTCCTATACAAGACAGAAAAGACATTTAACTTTACTGGCTTTGCTCTAAGCAGGTAGTTGTTCTCTGGACACAAACTTAGGTTAATGAGGTAATTTACTTCTTATGATATAACCATCCAAGTTTTTTTTATGAAAGTCTTCCTAACAACTTCAAATGAAATGATTAGGATGGGCAAGATCTGACCTGCATTATGAAACTGAAACATGATTATAAAACTGAAACAATTATTAAAAAGTATGAGGAATGTTCAGCATCCTACTATCAAGATTGAGGGAGTGAAACCTAATATTAATATCATTTTGGAAAAGGTCTTGGGGGTAGAATAGCAGTAAAACTCAAAAAGCTTCAAAGACATATATGAGGTTAAATATTTGTATGTTCAAAGATCAGACTTTACCTGTAGGTAAGCACAACAAATACACTGACACTTGTCTGTCTCCCTGAAATTTCCCACTGAGGGTAAAATCTGCCTATTGCAAATCATAGCTGGGTTTAGCACTGCAGGCTTTCCCATGTGGGATATACTTAGTTCTGGCTACTGAGAGAGCCAGGCTAGTCACCTGATATTCTCCACTTTTCATAGCTCTTGTGATTCCAGCAAAAAACACAATCCTTCCTTTGCCACTGACTTTCCATAATTTCATCCCATGTCCTTTTGTTTTGCATCTTCAAACATTCTTCATTCATTTTCTCAGTGTATTCAGTACACCCTGTACTATCAGAATCTGAAACATAAAATATCACTTCTTACCCATCTAACGAGAGAGGAGATCTGATATATAATTCACTACTCCAAGCAGACCTTACAGGTAAGATACAGAGAGTTGGCTGGCTGGTTGGTTAATTGCAGAATCACAGAACAGCCAGGGTTGGAAGGGACCTCAAGGATCATGAAACTCCAAATCCCCTGCCACATGCAGGGCCACCAACCTCCCCATTTAATACCAGCTCAGGCTGCTCAGGGCCCCATCCAACCTGGCCTTGAACACCTCCAGGGATGGACGGGGCATCACAGCCTCTCTGGGCAGCTGTTCCAGCACCTCACCGCTCTCTCTGTCAAGAACGCCCTGACATCGAACCTCAATCTCCCCTCCCTCAACTTCAAACCATTTTCCCTTGTCTTGTTGTTATCAACCCTTTCAAAGAGTTGACTCTTCTCCTGTTTTTAGGCTCCCTTTAGGCTGCAATGAGGTCACCCCACAGCCTCCTTTTCTCCATGCTGAACAAGCCCAGCTCCCTCAGCCTGTTTTTGTAATGGAGGTGCTCCAATCCCCTGATCATTTTCGTGGCTCTCCTCCGGACCCTCTCCAACAGCTCCCTGTCTTTCTTGTACTGGGGGCTCCAGACCTGGACACAGCTAAGAAAAATGTTTCCAAAATTCCACAGAGTTTCAGTCTGAAATGACTTGTTGAATGTCTGTGGGTGAAAATAAGAGAGAAAAGACTGGAGTTGATAAAATAATATGGATCTACTGTATGCTAGATAATCGTAAGCATGAAGGAGACGAGGCTTTTTCTTTTCATTAACTAACAGAAGTATTCAAGGGTTAGGACTTCACCTGGACATCTGCTAAATCTGCTAAAACCGTACAGATATGCATGGCACTGAAAATGTCATTGCATCAAAATGCTGATGTAACTATTCTGTGCACGTTCTAGTTGTTCTAATTCTAACAGCAAAAAATATTCTGAAGGCAGAAATGTAATTAGGATGAAGTAATCATATTAGAATATAGTTCATCATCCTAAAGAATACATGACATGAGCATAAGGGAATGGGAATAATGAATGCCAATACTGCAAATTTCAATAATGGAGGACAAATAATAAATATATGGATATTAAAGCATTTACTCCTTTCCTTGCTTCCTATTTCAGCAAAAACTGTGGTTTGCTGAACTGTAGCAAATTGTGGTAAAGCAGTTCTATCAAAACAGAGACAAGAGTCAAGGAGATCCTATCGAAGGAGAGATCTGACACTCCAATTTTCAGAATGAGAATGACAGTATAACAAATGATTAAGCTACCAATTTCATAATCAAGTATAAAAAAGTGAATATAAATTTGTCAAGAATAAACCACATTAGCCTA